CCCACAAATGTTGTGGTACTGCTTGCTTTGACTAGGTTAAATGTTGAACCACAGCGTTTGTGGGTTGGCATGTGAAGTCATAGACTTGGTATTAGAGATAGAAACAGGATAGACGCGGCGGCGATGGGGGCTAGTGGGCTAACAGCAGGTTTTATAAGAGACGTGGTCCATGTGGCAAAGGCCTGACCATGAGACTTACTCAGAGGCTTTAGCCTCGAATTAATCACCCGGACGCAGGTGAGGGCGAATAACGCCTCGAGTGGCACATATGGGCTGGCAGGGGTCGAGTGAAATATGTGAACCAGGGAGAAGGCAAACGGATTTTACGGGGCCGCTCAAAAGGGCACACCGTACCACATTTGATAAGGCAAATAAAAAGATGGTGACAGTGAAGGTGTGATAGGAGTATATAGGAAATGTGAATAGGTCAGGGCAGAAGGGGATATAGCATAACTGTTTAGCACATGTTTGGTCAAAGGATAGACTTACTTGTCTCTTTGACGAGTTGTTGTATGGTGCCACGAATGGCAAAACTCACTGATGATGCCGGCGAAACGTCTGGGAATGTACTACGTCCACGGTCCTGCTCTAGAAATAATGATGCATACAATGGACTCCGGACTAGGTGCGTTCCTCTAAGTCTTCCTACCAATATGACCGAGTTGAGAAAACAAGGCCAAACAACTTCTAGGTATAGGAAGCCTGCAAACACAGGTTACCTTTTGAATTTCCTTTCCAACCACATTTATAGAATTAAAGTAAGAGTTATGAGGTCTATGCTAATTTGGAGCTTGCATCTGGCAGGTTTTAACTATCAGGACCAGGAATCAAGACAACTAAGGAGAATTCTGGTTATGAATGATTTGCCAAATAAACGTAATTACAATTACTCTAGAATAGTGGTTCCCAAAATTTTTCTAGTCGCGGCGCCCTTATTCAATTAAATTTTTTCCATGGCGCCCTACCCTAACTATGACTATTCGTAAGTAAGAGATAAAAAAAACTTGTGTATCTCCATAATTTTTTACTTTATTAAAACTTTATAAATATATAATAATTAATGTGATGGATGAGTCTGCAAATCAGTGCATATTTTCTCAAATTGAAGCTTTTATAATATTTCGCGGCGCCCCTGTAGAGGCCGCGGCACACAGTTTGGGAATCACTTCTCTAGAACATTGTCAAATAGGAGGAAAATACATATTTGGGGTTAGATAAAACGTGAGAGGCAACCATCCTCTAATATCTCGAAGATAGGCGAATTATTATGTAGGTGTGGCATCAATATTATTTATAAAAAGAAAATAACACCTTCCTTAATAATGTCCTCTTTCTACAGATATTCTGATCCCCTATCCAGATCGGGCTCTTACAAATTTTTGTGTTCATGTGGCAGCGCCTGCGTGAGAGACCTGCCAGTACATGCATGAGATCGCCCTAACACAAAATAGTCTGCAAAGGTTTGAGGGTCCGACAATCTGAATATGCCGAATGCATGGCTCACACAGGCCACCAGATAGACTAATCTAATGCCGAACGCGTAATCAGATATGAAGAATATAACAGTGAGCGAAAAATTAGGAAATCTAGAGAAATCAATAAAATAGCAAACACTCTTAACAGAAGTAATGAGTGTAGCAAATAAAATAGCTAATTGTGGTCATTCGATAGGAGAGTGAGAGAATGAGAAGCACTGCCGAGCAAGAGAAGGCCTGACTATCTTCGAATCTAGTTTACACTTTAACGTCTCATGCAATCCAAGAGAATTGCATGCATGTAGCACCCATGTAATAGAACGTAATCACATCATTCAGTATTGCAGGCTCAAAAATATAAATGATTTGGGGGAGGATGCTGCTGTTCGATCATAAATGTATCCGCTTCAGGCTTCATCTGCAGCCATTTCACTTTTCAGCAAACATTTAGGGAAAATATAGAATGTCAGAACAAGTCATGGAATATGAAACACGATATTTAGCTCCGGGTTACAAGGGATTATGATTTTCAATTGTTAGTCAAATATCAAAATGCAAAAGAAATTCATTTTTATTACTTAAGTTAACTAAATTAGAACATATAAGTATTATTTCTACAAAACCTAAATAGGCGAAATACAATTTAAAGAAAATGCGTATAAACTATTTCAATAGTTGGCAAATCATGACACAGTAGATACTCAGATTGAAAAAATTTAACCTGGAATCATTTATAGCTGCTAACCAAAGTAAAAAGAGCCATGCCAGGGAGGTTGTGAAAATGGTACACGACGAACAGCTATAGATCGCGACGCAACAGTAAACCAAGTGGGCAAATAACCAAGATCCTCGGCCAAATCTCGAGGAGTTGCACCAAAGGTGGTAATATGATCATCTGGGCTCCAGTTGTATGGTAATGAGAGCATGAGACCAACGCAGCGACTGGCTGAGTGATGTATCGCCATCTG